TGGAGGTAGTTATGCTAAAAGTCCATGCTGTAAAGACTTAATATAAAAACTAATGCAAGATTAATCTGTAGGGGAAAAAAAAAAAAAAAAAAAGACAATCCCACAAAACCAAGCTTCAAAGTTCTATATAATAAAGCCACATTTCATTACAGGAATCACAGAAAAGATACTGTACAAGATGTCAAAAAAGCGCAAAGAAGAATCTTCTCAGAAAAATAAGAACCCGACAGAAAACCAAATGTTTAGATAATTCTCTTGACAAAAGCTCGATGTACTAGTGGGACATCATTATACTTTAGAAATTATGTACAAAATAGTATCAGAGAAATTATCCCAGTGATCTAATCTTAACAATCAGACTCTCCTTGATATATTAAAAAAGTCATAAAAAGAAGTTATAGTGGTAAAATAGCACCTTCACCAGAAGAAAGCAAGTTGTCCTGTCTCACAGCTGTAGCAGCATCCTATGCATTACCTTATCTTCTTTGCTTAGTATTTACACATAAAGTCTCCTTGGTTTAGATGTTTGTTATTTGCTATCTTTCATCATAACAACGTTAATTTCATTGCAAAGAATATGCCACCAAAGAACAACCACAAATGGTATATAAGTTCTCATTCATTAAAACTGAAATGTCTTCTAAACAGAAAGAAATAACCTGAAGGAATTCTGATAGTTATGTTTTGGTTCAATGCTCAACAGTTGGCAACCCCAATTTTAAGTAATCTTCAAAAGGAGTTTTACTAACCTTTCACATACTTAATTTTCTTTGGATATATTATAGTGGTAGAGTGCATTTACAGAAAGGTTTCTGTCCTGCCTGGTTTTACTGCTCCTTCTCTTATTTACAACTAACTGATTATTTACTGTTTTTTTAATCACAGAATTAATTCACTATTATTATGGGCTCTTATTATGAAGTATATTTGATGAGAAGTTACAAGAATTAAATCCTTACTGCATGCTCAAAAACATCCCTGCCCCCACCCCAGCCCTCTCAACAAAAGCCAGCTGAAGGCAGACGGGTTTCTGAATAGTTTCATTCAGAAATCCAGTACGTTAACAACAATCCAGCAAACTTAATCAAATTAAGAAAAGAAAATTACACATATGCATCTTCGTATTTCTGCAAGTATCCATTAAAACACCTATATTTTAGGGCAGATGGGACTTTTGTACTCCTTTCCAGCCCACTATCCAAAATGTCATGTTACAGTCTAAACCGAATATCGTACAGAGCTCAGTTCAAAGGGAAGAAGCCGACTAACACTGATACTCTACCATCTTTTGAAGACTCTGCAGATTTTGCCACAGCAATCATCTTTGTGGATGGAGTTTGATCATGACAAACTTGATGCAAGAAGTTTATAGATTTTCCTATTAGGAGGACCTGAACAAAAAGGGATATTTTTTTTTTTAAGTTATTTGCATATAAGAAAAGAAAAACACCAAACAAAAAAGCCACCCACAACCACCAGGGTAACAGGATATTTTGTCATCTTTCTGTGCTCTTAGCTTCGCAATCCCAACCACAGCAATCCAGAACTTCAATGCTAACACACAAAGCTTTTAAACACAAATTTCTTTTCCCCTCCTTGAAAACTCCTTAAACAAAGTTTATCAGTTAGAGAACGGAAAGGAGAAATGGTCTTGTCTTCCTCAGCAAACAATTCTCAAATTCTTAAGATGACTATTTATTGTTAAATTTGGTCTATATTTTCTTAATGGAAATCTAAACAGCAGCATAAGGCAAAGAAATCATCAGAAGATGATGATTCATACCTTTTTTGATTGCTCCATTGTAATAAAAGAAGGGATCATTGATTTCCTCAAAGTGTATTTGTCATGCCACAACCGATCAGTTTTAACTGCAGGATCTGAAGCTACAAAAAACTGTAGATTGAAACAAATATTAAAAACAAGATGAATGAAAACTCTCTCCCCTACTGTCTCATTTCTGTATTGAGAAAATTTTAAAAATATTCTGACTTGTTATTTTAACTAAAAAAGGCAAAAAAAAAAATTTTTTTTCATCATTAACATTCAGGGTTGTCCTGGCAATTGTTATGTAAATTGTGTGTTGACCAACATGAACTCTGAGGAAAAAAGTTAAAGAACAGCTCACACAATTTAATCTCCTCTGTACTGACTACCTCAGGGTAAAGTGCACTATCTGTAAAACATCCACTATGAAATAAAGAAGCTTATAGCATTTTCTGTCAATTAATTATACAACTAAGGTAAGAGATAAAGTTCAGAATGTAAGTGTAATAGGCTTTCATTTTACTCGTTCTATTTCACTCAAGCCCCTTTGGATTTCCTCCTATTTTAACAAATGCAAAATTGCAGAAAAAAAACCCAAACAAATCAAGAAATCCTGAACTGGTGATCAAATGCTAAGGTCTCCCAACTCCACACAGAGAACACTTTCATTTATAAGAAACTAAAACTACTGGATTAGGTTTGTTAAAATGACTTGTAGATGGATTCTGTCTGCATCCTGTCAAATAAAATACCCATTCTTTGGACAAGAACTTTTTTCACTGCCTCCAAATACCATTTCCACCAAGAATGGCCAATTGTCTTTGTTCAAAAACTGTGTCTATGGTATGAAAATTGTAGCTTTCAGTACACCACAATCAACAGTGATTTTCCGTTTTAAGAACACTCTTACAGTACACATGTAAATTTTGAATCAAAGAGTTGAAAGCTAATAAATGATACAAAAATGCCAAAAGACACCACCTCACATGTCTGAGGAGTAGCTGGGAAAAAAAGTAAAGTCTATTTTACACTTCTAACCATAAAGATTCATAGACATTTCACACAAGTCTCCGAATGCTGACCTTAAAGATCAGCTGTGGGTGATATTTGTACTAATTTTAATTTTGACCCAGATGGATAGTTTCAGAAATCAGACCACATACTTCACACTCAGGCAAAGTTACTCTGATGTGGTTCAGAAGTGCTCAATCCATTTTTAAAAATGATTCTTTGGCTTCCTGGAACAAAAAAAGTCACTTTAACAAGACTCTACTGATTGGAGACAGGACAGAGAGTTGGGAGAGCTTAAAAAGGCATAAAAACATTTCTAAGAAGAAAAAGGACAGTTACTAGAACTTGCTGTTACAGAAGTCAGAACAAATAACTGTAGAGTTTCTAGAAGAACTCTGGAACCATAAACCTCTTCTACCCAATCTCATAAACCAAAGTTATTTACGAAGCTGAGGATAAGAGTATGTAGTCAGAGTAGAATATTCTGAACTTTATTCCAAATACAAGGCTTGCATTCTAAATAGTAACAAAGATACATTACTATTGTTACACTAAGCAAGAAGAGAGAGATGACTTTGTCTCTCTTCAGAAGCACGCATGTATTTTTAGTCCACCATTCTGCCTCTACGGAACAGACCCAGGATATGATTCACTGTAGACAACATACTGCATCATCGCAACCGTCAGATATCACACTGACTGAATCCACGAAAAAAAGTCACATTTCATGTTGTTATTGTATACATTACCGCAACCGTCAGATATCACACTGACTGAATCCATGAAAAAAGTCACATTTCACGTTGTTATTGTATACATTACTTACATGTTACACGCCTCCATCACAGTCTACTTTTCAAATTGTCCTCTAAGCTTCCCACGCAACATACTTCCACAAAGCAAGCAAACTTTTCAAATTGTCCTCTAAGCTTCCCACGCATCATACTTCCACAAAGCAAACAGATATAATATTTATTGTATCACATATGTTACCTCATGGTACGTATCCTCCAACTCTCCATCATAAATCCAGCGATAAAGGAAATTCAATACCGGATGAGATACTAGGCCAAGAATGTGCTGAACCAGAGATCTCATGTAGGGATCTCCTGTTTTAGTATAGGCATGAACTGCTGAGGCTAGTTCACCACCTTTTCGTCCTGTAAGATCATAGGGAAGAGAAACAGAAACGTATGAAGGAAAAAATACACACACTACACTTAAATTCAGCAGCCATTGATTTTAGCTGGTCATATGGCACTCAGAGCTTTCTGAACAGCAATTCTAAAATGTAGCAAAAGTACTTTTTTTTTTTTTTAATGTTGACAGGAAATTCCCAGGTCTTAAGCCATGAATCATTAATCTCACTGAAGCATCAAGCATAGCTGTCTGACAACGTATTCTGTCTACTTTATAGTAGCTTGCAGTAACGCAAATTTCAAGGCAACAGATCATACTCAAAGGTTGACTTTATGCTTATCTTCCCCACCACCCCCATCAGAATAGCATTAAAGGAGCCTTAGCATGTTTTCCTTCTCTCCTCAGATGTTCTGTGTGCATACATATACATAAACGCATCTTTCCTGCTGCTTGGTTACAGTTCCTCCCCCAGCTCCTTTAGGTAGTATTTCCTGTCTTCTTGCAATTGAAAAGTAAGAGGATGTTAAAAAATAAAACCAGGAGTACTTGTTTCACTGTTATGCTGTGCAGCTTAATGTTTCCCTGCAGCACAGGCTGTAGCATTCAAAATTTTCATGAACATCTTAAAAGTAACGCCTACTTTTTTTTCAGAATTGTTACTGATCCCAATAGTCAAGGTAAAACAGATGCTGTAAGCTTTTTTTGGTTAAGATGCTCTTTCCAAAGGGCCACAATCTCCATTTATTTTCAAAGACAGCAAAGCTGAAGTACCCTTAGGGAGAAGCATAGCCTATGGGTCAGTTATTGGCCAAAGTTTTGGTCAACTCCAACACCACTCCTCAGCATTTTTTCATGGATTGCCAACACAGCCATGTGCTATTTGCAGATTTGTAAAGTTTCGTTTTCACATGAATCTGCAGGCAACTCGCAAATGACGCCTATATGTCATCATACATAAAGCAACAGCATAATACTCATACATAGTGAAGAGACTAAGCCAACCACTTCATAGTGTATTAGTAGGCTTTTTAGCAGCGTTACGCTCTCTGAAAGATGACTAAAATCACATAATCGAAAACAGCATGAAAAACGTGCTTAAAATTTGAAGGATTTCTCAAGCATGTTCTAGTTTTAAAAAAAGATGAAAAAGTCAAAGTGTATCAAAACAGCACTATAATTCATCAGCTTTTTCCTTAAGCTTAAAAGGAGAGAATCCTCTGGATTAGCTACTTAAAATTTTCTAAAAAACCCTAACAGTAACATTACTGATATCCACCTTTGGCATGCACAACCACTTAAAGTTACAGAACTTCCCCAGAAATATTAAATTACTGTTAAACAGACCTTGACAGTGATCCACAAGTGCTGCAAGGGTCTTTAACCTTATTTTAGGATCATATGTCCAGACGAGAAGACGGCGAAGTGTTAAACTGCTCTCAAGTCCCAAATTCACGCCCTGATCATCTTCCAATTGCAACTGATCAAATTAGAAACAGAAAGACATATCAAGGAACAAAACAGGCAAAACTGAAGCAGAACCGATGTTTCATTGTTTTTGTTCCGAAGTTATCTTTTTACTAATACACTTGAAATACCCAGTATTATGTGTTCTCATTAAATCATTGGGCCAAAACCTGAGGGCCTCGCTAGTGGAAACAGAGAATCAAGCGTACATGAAAGGACAGAGACAAGTGGAAGTGTAATAGAGTAGACAGACCACAAAGGCCAAGAAAGTTACAGAAAGCAAGGTGATAGATGGTTAGTCACAAAAGGAGGGAAGAGCAAAGGAAAAGAGAGCAAATACTGGCCAAAGAACTGCTCTGAAAACAGTAAAGAAAAACATCTAAAGGAAAGGAAGGGTGTAGAAGGTAAAGTTTTTATTACTGCACAGTCAGCTTATTTTAGTTCAACATGGGACAAATTCTGTTCAATGTCTTCCTCCAGAAGCCATCAGAACTTATCTTAGCTATATAGTGAGATTAAGGAATTGCTACTGCTGAAAAAAAAAACAACCCAACATTAAAAGCTCTGCCACAGAAAGTCTGTCACAATGTGACTACCATAAATCTTCCAACACCGTGGAAAATGAAAGCCAAATATTTGCAGCCAAGATGCAAAGGCACATCTCATACAAGCACAGATAGGGTAAGCAGGACAAGAATACGATCTAAGAATATAAAAGCAAGTTCCTAGAGCAGCCCAAGAAGATAAACTCTTACAAAAGATGCTCCGTTTCCCGTATGCGACAACCAATCCATCCCATTCTTCCTCATCCAGAGCATTTTTTGCCAAATACAACGTATCAGTTAAACTTAAGACCATTGTCACACACATTAAGCTCAGCCTTAAAGCCAGTCAAATTCACTAGCTTCTGAATGCTCCTGGGTCCACAGGTTTTTTGTTTTGTTTTGTTTGGTAACTGGCAACAAAGAGCAACAAGGAAAAAGACTGGGAAAAATGTGAGCCCAACTACTGAATGGTGCTGGGAAAGCGGTGACAGGAAAAATGGAAAAGGCTGAGGTACTTAATTTCTTCTATGCCTTGTTTTTTTTATAAGATTTGCCATTAGGAATACCAACCACCACCAGAGATCAGAGGGGAAGCCTGGAACAAGGGAGACTTACTCTGAGTGGAGAAGGACCAGGTTAGGGACCACTAAACAAAATGGATATACCTAAGTGTGAGACCTGATGGGATGCACCCGTGAGTGCTGAGGGAGCAAGCCAATGTCACTGCAGGGCCACTGCCAGTTAACTTTGGAAGTTCTTAGCAATCAGAGGAGGTTCCCAAAAACCAGGAGAAAGAAATGTCACTCCTCTCTTCAAGAAGGAGGATCCACAGAACTACATGCCAGTGAGACTCATCTCATCCCCTGGGATGCTGACAGAGCAACTAATTCTGGAAACCATTTCCCATCATACAGAGGACAAAAAGTTTTTCTCATGAAGAAAAGCTCAGGGAAAGGAGGAAGAAGGGGGGCCATTTGTGTGACGGAGTTTGTCTTCCCAAGCAAGTGATAAGTGTGCTGAGGCTCTGTTTGCCAGAAAGTAGCTGGACATTTGCCTCCTGATGGGAAGCAGTGAATGAAATCCTTACTTTGCTTTGCTTGCACGCACAGCTTTTGCTTTACCTATTAAACTGTCACCAACTTGATTGACTTGTCTTGTCTTGCCTTCCATCTTCTCGCCATTTCCTCAAGAGACATGGGTGAGCAAGAGGCTGGGTGGGTGTTTGGCTGCTGGCCAGGGTCAACCCACCACAAAGGCAAATGCAGTTTGAAAATAAGTGATGCCAGAACTTTCCTTTAGTTTTCCCCTTCCATGCTTCCCCTCCCACCAGACTCATCTCTTCTTTTGAAAGGTTTAGTGGAGCAGGAAGGGTAGAGGAACCTGCATTTTAAAGAAGTCATAAATATTTTCATGGTCAAGTACTTTTAGAACTTAGAATAAATCAAAACTCCAGCAAACAAAGAGAGCAAACATATTTTGGACAGAGCCAGAAATAATTACATGAAGAGTAACTGGATAGTAACCAGGAAAAACAAGTAAAAAGTATACATGACAGGCATTCCAAAAGCCAAGAATGTTAAAGAACTGCAAGTGAGTCAAAAGGAACAGATGCTTTGAAAATGTTTACAGAAGCCTATGACTTAAACCGCAGATTTTTTTGAAGATGGAATTTTAAACGGCATTTTAATTTAACTTTAGGTGAATTCTCAGAATAAGTTTTCGTCAACTACAAACTTGAAAGTCCCATATAAAAAAATCAAATTTTTACTTTAGAGCTAGCATCTAGGTGCACATACCTATAAATATTTGTGGACAAACTGCAAGATTATCACCACTGAGCTGGTCTATGAGTCACAGAAAAATAATACAACACTTAAAGATCTTATTCTTCAATACAACAGAAGGGACAAGGAAAATGCACAAACTGCCCCAGACAGAACAAAAAGTTGGAACTGCTGTTACTAGTTGCTGAACTATGCATAGCTTGAGTACAGGAAGATTTTTTTTCTCCCTTCAAAGATGTGTCGTGCTGTTTGGGACTTGAATGATAAAAGACACCACACAAGATGAAAACTGACAAAAGGGCTGCAAAAAAGGGACAGAGGCTTAGAAATACACATTATATTCCTTGCTTACTTAATACAGAATCACAGAACGTTAGGGGTTGGAAGGGACCTTGAACGACCATCTAGTCCAACCGCCCTGCCAGAGCAGGACCACCTAGAGTAGGTCACACAGGAACGTGTCCAGGCGGGTTTTGAATGTCTCCAGAGAAGGAGACTCCACAACCTCTCTGGGCAGCCTGTTCCAGTGCTCTGTCACCCTCACAGAGAAAGTTTTTCCTTACGTTAATGTGGAATCTCCTATGCTGCAGCTTGCACCCGTTGCCCCTTGCCCTGTCATTGGACATCATCGAGAAGAGCCCGGCTCTGTCCTCCTGACACTCGCCCTTTACGTATTTATAAACATTAATGAGGTCAAACAACAGTGAATTTCTAAGAGAAAAATATTCATTGGTACACACAAAGAGTAACAAATGTACAAGTTACAGAGAATTGTGTCCACTGTCAATAGAAACTGCTGTACATCCTTCCCTTTCTAATGGGATACCTAGGTATACCTTTCAGGAGATACTCAGATAATGTAAAGCAAAATAAGGAAGTTAAATAAGAACCACTTAACTTACCTGAGAATGTAAGACAGACAGAAGTCGGTAGTATTCTTTAAGCTCCTGATGTAAGGCTGCACAAAAACTCTGCAAGAAAAAGAGGAGGGGGAAAAAAAAAAAAAAAAAAAGAAAAGAAAAAAAATCAGGAAAAATCTTTCTGGTTTAATCTAGAATAACTTCTACCCTATCACCACACTGTGAACGTAGTTAGAAATTTCATAAAAGGAATCCAGCTACAAGTGACTTTCTGTTTCTCGCTGTCTTAATTCTATTAACAGATTAAACTATGGTAAGCATAACTCTCCAAACACATATACCATCTCAATAAAGACATTAATAATTACCATAGGGACGTGGAAATCATAACATGACCCAGAAGAAATTTTCTTTAATAACTATGTAAAATACAGCATGTAGTAAAGTAAGAGAGCTTCAATTTCAGGAAGGCCTCTAATTACAGAACACAGAAGTCAAGCAACCATCATTACATTTACAGTATAGACTATATGACATGAACAAGAAAACACAACGCTTACAAAAGAATACTCCCAGTAAGTGCTGCTGTAAATTTTTGGCCTTCAACTGACAGACATACACGATTCTTCCCTTGACATGGAAGAAATGAGTAACACTAAGTATATCCTAAGAAATCTGTAAAATGTGCAAAGTTAACAGGCTTGAACTAAAGCAAAGATTCTTCTTTGTAAAACAATTCTAAGACCAGCTACTTTGGGTTGTTTAAAAATAAATACATAAAGGCAGACTTTAAAAACAACTACTGAAAGAATACTTGTTTAGTAACAGATAGTTTTCCACAGTTTGGGGTAGTAGGGTTTTGCTTTGTTTTTTGTTATGTTCTTAACCTAACGTACCGACTAAAAAAAAAGCCTGCAACACATTTTCTAAAACGGAACTAAAAATATGGGTCATTAATTTTGAACAGAGTTGAAAATTTTGGACTTCAAGCACTTTTGGGTGGTTTAAAAATTGTTTCTTTGTTTGAAGAGTACCTCCGTGCACACACACAAATTCTTCAGAACTGATTTATTAACCAATTTTCAGCTAATGATTTTGATACCTATTTTAATGAACTTTTTTTTTAAAAGGAAATTCCCCAGGACTTCCCCCTCAACCCTTTCAAAATCATCACAGTCAAAGTAATTCGGAAAAAGTACGTAAAATCTCACAAGAACAACTCAAAAGCTTAAAGTAAAATATTTATTCACTAGAGTATATACAAGGGAGAAATCATTACTACAAGGATATGGAGAAAATAAATCTTCTTTCCTGCTAGGAGGCTAAGCAGCCTATTAAAAAAAAAAAAATCATTAATCTTGCCATTGTATCCTTTATGAGGAAAGAGGGTTCCTTTCTTCAACTCAATATTACACATTAGAAAGAAATTTGAAATTAATTTTATTCCAGGGGATACTGAAGGGCAAAAAGAAATCCCCTTATGTGTAACTCCACTTTTCATTTCTTCTCACTTGCTTCTTCAGTACATTTTTGAACCTATTAAAGTAGCACTTGCCAAGATAGAGGGCACAGTAGAGCCTCCAAGAAAACAAAGGCACTATACATCTACTCAAAAAGCGAGAACAGTAATCACTGTCTTTAGTAGCCAAAAGGATTTAGGATCTAACTGGCCATCAATTTTTCAGAGAAGCTTTAGAAGTTAAAATTTACATCCAGTGCCAATTCCTGCATCACAAACTACAGTTTTTTGTTTCCCAAACTGTTATGGAAAACTGGACATTATCCTAGAATTCTGGTTTGGTCTACAGCAAAAGAGAATTCAGGAAAGAAACAGAATGCTTGTTCAAGAGGAAAAAAATTAAAATGCCCACAACCTCAACTGGATCTAAAATGGGCAAAGTGTCAAAATATAAGGCAAGTTATATTTCATTGGCAATCACTCTTTTTGCTTTCTGAGGACAAAGTAGAACTTACATACTAAGTAGCAAAGGCAAAAGAATATAATGTTGAAGTGTAGCGTAATGTTATATCTCTACTCCTAATAGTTGTCAATACCTGACATTTTGCATGGCAAAAACAGTCACCAGAACCATAATAAAAGAGGTGACAGGTATCTTATCCTGCATGAAGTTTAAACAGGGGTTTACATAAGCATTCTTTCAAAACATTAAGAAAAGGATGCTTTAGAATGCACAATATATTTTTGTGCTAAATTCTTAATGCACAGTGCACGGCACCTGAAATTGTCAGGTATAAAAGCCATAAAGACCAATAGTATATGCTCTTTTTGCCCAGATACTGACAGCAGGAGTAGAATATATGTTTTTCTTTGTACACTTTATGTCCTAGAAATACATATATAAGTGCTTGCCTCAAGCAAAATTAACAGCATAGGGCTATGCACATTCAGCTAGCTAAATGCACGGCCTTCTGCACAGGATCTGAAACCTGCATATGGTAGCTAAGATATAGCACATTTAAATTCACTCAAGAATTATAAGTTCTCCCCTTGCTGTAAACTTGAAGATTAAAGCCAGAGACAGTAAAAATAAGCATAAGCAGGAAGCTACCAGATAAAGAATAAGAAACTTCACCCAAATATAAGGGGGAGAGTCTGAAGAAAATGCATATACAGTAGCACTACCATTATAAACCATGGAAATCGGCATTGGATCACTAGAAAAATAATTATTTATATGTAACTAAAAGGGTTACTTAGAATAAGAGACAGAAGGGAACAGAATCAAACATTAGAAAAGTAGGAAGCACTACAGTGTCTCTACTGACCTCTTAAGAAAAATTAGATTGAAGGGAGAAGCACTTCAATTTCTTGGCAGATTAGGTAGGATGTTATGGCTAGAGGCAAGGATAACATTTCTGTCGACTCAGAAGGGATAATATCCAGTTTTACAGAGGGAGCAAGTGAGAGGAAACGGGAATGCCTTAGCAGTAAATGTGGTTTTGGGTATTACAGCAGCTGTGAAGTTACTGTAGACTACAAATCATGATGTTGAAACCTATAAAAACAAAAATTAATATTCTTTTGACACTGTATTCAAAAGAAAGGGCAGAAGATAACAGGGTATTCGCATCTTAGGTACGTTAGTGCAGTATTAACACATGAACACGAACATTAGCTGACTAGAGTGTCTCCTGCATAGGTCACTAACAACTGAATTCATGATTAATTAGCTCAGGGATGCCACCATCCCATTTAAGCAATGCTTTTGTTTATAAACATGCACAAGTACTTAAAATAAATATGAATTTTTAAAAAAGGAGATTAAGGAAAGGAATCTATGCATGAGACTTTCCAGCTACAAATGACAGGGCAACTCCTTCTTACAACCAGAAAGAGCAAATGCCTTTCCCTTGCCTTCAGACTATGACCCATACCAAAAGTGGCAGTCCCTAAGAGGAGTAAATCAAAGGATGAATGATCCAAGCTCCAAAGTTTACGCGTCATTCTAGTACTGCATTTACTCAGCAGTTTCTAAGGGAAATAAGGTCAAAATACTGTCCCAAAATCAATTTTTCAGTTGACCTACCTGTCCCACAAGTCCAAACGCACGATCCAAACTCCTCTGGTCTGTGTATTTTCTTATTTTATTATGTAGCCATCCCAACTCTGCAAGTCTACTTGTAGTATCTCTGAGAGATTTGGACAAGCTCACCTACAAAGTTAACAGAAACAATGACTTGCAATTAAGTCAAATCCCCCACGCCAATACTTGTTTCTTTATAAAAGCCCCTCTTTCTCATAAAACAAGCCAGTTCAGGAAACAATCATTTTACACTTTACAGCAGAGACAGTGCCAAAAAAGCAGACAACCACATAGTTAGCACTATATTTATACTCTTAAGCACTGAAAAGGCAGCAACAACAAACTACTGGCAACTTTGTGACCTTCCCTTTTAGAAATCTTAATGTAACAGTATTCATACAATCTTTTTACATTACGCAATTATGGCAGTAAGAAAAAGGTCTTCAGAAAAGAGGAAGAAATCTGAAATTTTATGATGTAGAATCACACTTCATCTTATCCTGATAATCAGTAACACTGAAAATATTAGAGCTCTAGAAGAGGAGTCAATGACTGAAACTAATGAAGAAACCTAGGGAAAATAATTAGTTACTCCTACATGTGAAACAAACCTTTAATAGAAGACAAATGACCCAATACTGGACTAGGCATCAGGAACCAAAACTTACAGAATCCAAATTCCAAGTTTAACTCCAATACACCAGAAACAGCTTTTACAAGCTATTTAATCACGTGCCCCTTTGAGCTCTTTTAGTCTACTTTTCTTATACTAAGTATCTCACTTCACCCTGCAAGCCTGTCTTAGTCCCAACACCCTATTTAACTACTACTATTTTCAGCTGAATTGGCACGTTTCTTCCTTTAAATTACCAACACATAAGATGCTGTTACTCTTCTTCCTACTTGAGGTTTGCTTCCACCACACTTCGTCACATTACCAAGAACATCATCATCAAGGTTTCAAAATTTTATTGGGCAAAAAACCCCCAATAAATCTGACTGATACATTAGGCCAAGAGTCAAGAGACTGACTTCTGCCCACAGCTTACTGGGCCTATCCCACCTCTACTGACAACTTTAACTTGGGAGAGACAGCTGGAACAGTCCAAACCAAAGGAAGGAAGTGCACCAACAAGCTAAATCGATTGCCAAAGAACTAGAAATCAAGTTCATTCATTAAGCCTTTTAGTCAGCAGTACAGGCATTCTCTAAGATAAAACTCAGCTACGGAGTGTGTTAGCCACAGCAGCGTGGGCTTGACCCAGGCAGCAGCATTTGGTTGTAGGACCTGAGTTCAGTCCCTGGCCCTCTTTAGCTATAGAGGCACAGCTTTAACTTCTTAAACAACACCCGTAAGATAAATTCTAGCCCAAACAAGCATAACTGGACAAAGCTAGAAACTCTGCCCAGAGCTAAAACCAAAGAGATGACATAAGAACTATTTTAAATTCTGCAACTACAGAGTGCTTGGCAAGCATTAAGTACAATAGACATCTGCTGGAATCAAATGAGGAACAAGCAAGATTGGCTTGGTGTTATTACATTTGTATCTCTTAGATCAAATCAGAAGCTGCTAGCTTATACAATGCTGAATGTCACCAACAGACCCAGTATTAACACTGGCATTAAAAAACACTCAGGCAAGAATAACAGCTTGGAAAGTGTGTTTCTTTCTGGAAAAAAAAAAGAGACTGCGTACAATGACATTTTCTTTGTGCAGCTGAGGGAAAACTACCATCTTGCTTACATGGAGGCAACACAGCTAGAGGAGGTATGATCTTGGTCCTCCTTGGTCATCAGAAAAAGTTCCAGCTGCAGCTCTAGTCAGTGAAATAATTTCATCTTCACTAGGTCCAGTGCTCAGTACAAGTGCCAATAAGGAGGAAAGATGGAAGACAACTGACTTCACAAAAATAACTGAAGACACGAAGTTCCCAGGAAAAAGCATTATTGACCACAAACCATCTGAATGATCAAACTGAATTCAAACTAAATCAGTTCTTCACCTCAAACTAGCTTATTTGATATGAAAGCTACACAGAAAACTAATGAAACCTATAGTACCAATTTTGCAATCACTAAGTTTTCTCCATGTTCCTCTAGAAAAATCTATTCTGCTACCTTTCCTTTCCCCTATATAATCTAACTTACATAAGGAACATCATTAACTCGGTTTAGGTGATGAGGAATTACAAACTTCGCAGCATCTACAAGTACAGAAGATGACATCCTTAAGAATCTGTTTATTAACAAGTTTTAACCGATTTAACACAATTTAAGTTTTCCATTTTTGCCTCCACTAAAGCAGCCCCAAATATCATTGTAAAGTAACAAGGGGAACAATTATACATTTCACTTTTTGCTGTTATCATGGAGGAGAAAAGGAAATTAGTTCAGTTATCATCAACATTAAGACAAGTCTGCTGTACTCTTGGCACATGAAATGGCCCAAAATCAATTCCCCTCCATTTTAGGGCTATGCCACATTGTCAGAGCACAAAGCTCTTAACACAAGCGAAAATCAGAAGCACTGTCTTTGGTTTTCATGTTTTTGTTCAAACGGAATTAGCGAGCTGAAACTGGACTGTGAGGCAGCGCTGTCTAAATACTGGATACGGGGAAGATGCTAAAGCAACCAGCGCCATTTTTTTGTTCTTTGCTCAGCAGACTCAATGTCACCCTTTGGTTTTTTTTTTTCCACCTTGCAAATATGTTTAACATCTCACCACCTTAAAGCAAGATCTTCTCTCTCATGCTTCTCTCCTGTTCCTCTGCCCCCTATTTGACACCTGCCTTCAGATTCACAACAGCTCGATTTTCTATCAACAACAGGAGTTGAAAGCACTTTCTTCAGTTCTATCACCAGTCCTTTCTTGGGTGATCTGCACGATCCTATCTGATCACTTATAAGTTGTAATGAAGTCCATAACATCAAGCAGCTAGCATCCATTCCACTTCTCAGGTTGTTAAATTTAATCCAATTATAATGTGGTCAAAAGCCTGCATCTGCTTTATATTAATTCTTATACACTGGGGAGGGGAAAGGATGACAAAGTCCTCAAATTAAGCCATAACTTAGGAGTCTTTGTACTGGCTTAATAGTTGGGAGTCTATTCACATCTTGTGAAACACTACAATTTCTTCCTGGGACCTAATCTACCCAATCAATTTTAAATTAGTACTGTTAGAACTACGCTGTTATACTAAAAAAAAAAAAAAAAAAAAAAAAAGCTGGGGGAGGGAATAAAGACTTCGAATTATAGAATCATTAGGTTGGAAAACACCTCGAAGATCATCAAGTCCAGCCATGAACCTAATATCACCATGCCCACTAAACCATGTCCAAAAGCGCTACATCAACACATTTTTTGAACACCTCAGGGATGGTGACTCCACCACCTCCCTGGGCAGCCTGTTCCAATGTTTGACCGCTCTTTCAGTAAAGAATTTTTTCCTAATGTCCAATCTAAACCTCCCCTGGCACAACTTGAGTCCATTTCCTCTTGTCCTATCACTAGTCACTTGGGAGAAAAGACCAACACCCCACTTGCTACAACCCCCTTTCAAGCAGTTGTTTTAACTTTTTTTTTTTTAAACATTTTTTTCACGGCTATTTTCCCCCTACATACCTCCCTGCTCACACATGAAATACAAGTCACCATACAGTACCTTTCCCTCCACTTTATAGCAATTTTCAGAATTGCACATTTTGATGTTTTTGCCATCTATTCCCTGGAAGACATACAAAACATCTCTCACGAGGTTTGCTTCAGTTATTTCAACAGAGCCTAGAAAGAAAAACCAAACAAACAAAACAGTATTTAATTTGTTGGGACAACTAGTTTTGATTACAACTTCAAAAAGATATTTAAAAGCCTAGCCAAAAAAAAAAGAACAGAAAAAGCCTGTGTTTATAACCTGTAAAGAAATTATTTAAGCCTCATTAACCACCTGACAGGAAAGCCAAGAATTCCCTTTACCTGCCTCTGCTGATATATGGGATTCACTCAGAGAAGGTCAGCTTGTATGACACAGGGCATGTTGTATTTTAAACAACACTTCAGTCAGTCCTTAAACTTATCTTTTCTGATTCGATCACCAGTGCAAGTTCTGAGGCAAACATCAAAATAACTTTACCTTCCTTCGAACAAACAGCTGAAGTAGTTAAATGTGATTTAGAATAATCTCTTCTACATTCAGCTAGGAAAACAACAGAGTTAATCCAGAAGGATAATAAACAAGGAGCTGCTTGTTTATTATCAGCTTTCAATCACACATGCCACTGCTCAGTGAAAAGATTGATCAAAACCAGACTGCCAGTTGCATAACAGTTATATAGCTGGCAAACAGAAATACTGTTTCTGAAGAAAAATATACCTTTGATTTAGTAAAGTTTTTGCTGTTGCAGCATACAGTTTGCTTCTGGCTCATATCTCTAGTTAGAGGTCAGATTAGGTTTGAGATTTAGTATATCTATTGGTTTAAAGGATATGGAAGACGGAAAAAAGTGCTCTGCAGGCTACTGCAAATACGCCCACCTTTTCTGGACAAAACAGCACCATCTGCTTTTGTAACTTCATTTAAGATAACAAAATTGAAACAATTTCAACAACGGCTATCCAGAAATTGAGATGCGACAACGTGCTCCCCCCAGATTTGACAACACTCTTACTCCCATCAGTTTGCCTCCCCACCAATCCACTTTCCCGAATAAAAAAAAAAAAAAAAAAAAAAAAGAAATTCTATTCTTATTTTGGGAAAACGTAGCCATCACCTTAAGATGCTGTTTAAAACTCAGAATCCCCTCAAAATACTAAGATGTGCACGACAGTAGTTAGTCCCTTTTAGGAAGTGTTAGTGAAAAGGGTGAAAGATTCAAGTTCACGTTTCTTTAAGTGGTAAATAATACAACAGGTATTAATATCAACTATACAATGCTCCTGATTATACTGTCTGTGTAGGCGTAGCAATAAGAAAACTCCAATGAACAGCAACCAACTTCAGAAGAAAAAAAAACAACCCTTTTAATTACTTAGAATAATTTTGTATTCATAGAAATATATCTTCTTGACAATAGCCATTTATACTCTGAATGCAGTCCTACTTTATTTGTACATCAACAAGTGACTACATTTAAGACAGCTGTCAGTCCTTATACCCATCCCACATAAGAATCTAGATTCACAGCTGCTGGCTGACTGAATTAAACAAGTTTGTATTGCTCTTTATGGCAATTAGTACTACAAAAATAAGAGGCGGTGCTAATTCTATATGTTTTTTCTCTATTTTTCTATATTAAATATCTCTCTATATAAAAAAATATATTGATAAATATTTTATACATATACACAGACATACGTCCTCTTACACATTCACAGTATTGTTAATTAGGTTCTAAATGCCAAATGCTGCCCTCAGATATACCAGTACAACTCTGTTTGGTCTACAAGCTGTTGCTTTGGGCACTCTTACTCATAAAGATGCGGAGGCACATAGACTGTATTTTAGCTTCTAGCTATCCACATTTCTTTATATAGGAGTTAATAAAAAAAAAAACCAAACTCAACACAGAACATAAAAACCCCACATTCTCTTATCTTTCTTTGCCAGAGAGTAACGGCACTGTAGGACGACAACACCTGCTGTTAGCGCTCTTATTCAGAAAAGTCTCCCGCTTTTACAGTAAAAGCAGAGTGGGTTGAAAGTTACACAATTGCCACAGGGATCATCTGTTAAAAAATTTGTCCTTAGTTACACTTGTATTAATTCAGAATAGATCCTCTAGGCATCAGTTTCGAGTTTATAGCCATTTAATCAAGGAAATAAATTAGTAATATTTATCTATTTTTTATTTATTGACAGTATTTTATGTCAATTGCTCTAAATACAACCACCATAAACAGTGTGCTAATTTAAAGAAAAAAGTTTTAAGAGCACTATATTCCAGTGCTCATCTCAGAGTTTTAAAAGACAGAATCGCAAATGTTCTATTCATTGAGCTCTCTTTCTGACTTTCTAAAAGCAGTAGCATCTTCTGATTATCAAGAGGGATGATCACTCACAAACTGCAGTCACCTGATTCTGACAAACACTGCAGTGAAGTCAGACTTTTAAGAGGACAGAACACATTATCAAACCAATCACTGCAAAAAGAAATTAACAACCAGTGAAAGAGATTGTGGCCAAATATAACAGTCTTGCGTATTTGCTTCTATCCTCCTACCCCATACATTCTAGCCAAACACTCCTCAGAACATTCAACATGCTATAAAACTATTTCAAAATCGTTAAAAAACGATGGAGGATATAAATAACAATTGTAAAAAGCTCTCTCTAACAAATACATCTTCGCTCACCAGTTGTATCCCCTTCTCGCCTTGACCTTGGCACACCACGGGAGACAGCATTTGAAAAGCCTTTTGAGGTAGTGCTTTGTAAAGAAGGCTGGCTTGCAGTTAGAGTCCATGCGAGACGTGATCCTAATTGCTGACGGAGGCAATCTCCAACGCCTGGAGCTTGATAGGATTGTCTAAAAGGACAAAAGGAAGAAACATCTTTAAAAACTTTGATTCTATACCAATCACCTGATTTGGAGTATGCAAATTTTGAAAAAACTTCCCAAGCTAGAGTTTAGTTTTTTGTGGATGTTTTGTTTGTGGGAGCTTTTTTTTAGTAAAGGAACCTTTAAAAGGGTGCAGAACATACAAGTAATTTATTGCTTCCCATAAGCCCACACTTTCAAGAAAAAAAAAAAAAACCAAACTGTAGAAAAGGAGGTATGAATTTGAAAAATATGATTTCATATCAAAGATTGACTTTGTTCCCAATGAACTGTGTAGATATGCTGGAATGGATTAAAAGTGAAGTCAACTATAATAATAAGAATAACCAACAACCAGAATAAACAACTTAAATATAAGTTTTGTTATTACTTGAAACTAGTTACATGCAAAAGAACTAAAGGAAAACAGAGAAAGAGGAGAAAGTTCATTTTCCTGCTACTCGACTGTTTAGTATACTTTTAACAAGTGCCTGAACAAGTGATCAAGGAGGGAGCATCTAGACAAGCTCCAGCTTCCCTTCCCCTCAAACTTGTCAATTCTTCTCACAAAAATAGTCTTAAATGTGAAAAATGCTAAGACTAGAAGTTAAGTTTCTGATTATTTCTGTATCATGATGATAAAAAATAAAGTTGAAAATATTTGTGAATGATATTTGCTGTGACTATTCCCCCCTCCAACTGAACATAAACATTCAGAAATACATTTTTAAAAAAACTAACTAATTCCACAAAGCCGTGAAAGCAGTTGCAGGGACAGATGGAACAAGATTACAACACAAACGTCCATATAAAAATGGTCAAGATGGAACAAGATTACAACACAAACGTCCATGTAAAAATGGTTGAGGAAAGCCTTTCCTCTCTCAACTGCCCCATCATAACTCATGGGGTGGTCACGTCACACTTATATGATTGTAGCTAATGAACAAGAACACAACCCGCAAGACAGAGCAACTCCGTTGTGCTTCACATTTATAACACAACTTGGGTACAATGCTGGATTTAGGCTGTTACCCTTCCAGAAGAATCTACTCTAGAAACAAGGGGAAACATGTATAAAGAGAAGTTCAGGAGGAATGAAGCTCACAGAAAGATCCAATTTGGGTTGCCCAGCTCACAGACTACAGGACTGAAGAGACAGCAGTGAAATTGCTATAAAATGGAACAGTCTGAACAGGTCAGACCAAGAATATATCAGGAACAGGGTAGGTTCTGCTGATACTTTTAAGCAAGCAGATACATGAAATAACCTCAGTGACATATCATTCTATACTGTATCACAATTATATAATGGTAATATCTCTGGAGATCACCTCCTCCAACCCTCCTGCTCAAAGCAGGGTCAACTAGAGAAGGACAGTTACCTGGTGCATTTCAAATATTTTCAAGCACAGAGACTACACAACGTCTCTGGGCAAGACATTTCAGTGTCTCATAACATCCCTCCTGCCATCAACACGCACCCCACCTCACTGCAAAAGAAAGGCTTTTTCCCTTATGTTTAATTTGATTCCCACTCTTACAAGTTTTGCCAGTTACCTCTTGTCCTTTCCCTGGGGATTACAGACAAAAGTCTGGCTCAGTCTTCTCTACAGCCCTGGTTGGATATAATCACGTGGATAAGATTCCCTGAGCCTTTTCTTCTCCATGCTGAATGGTCCCAGCTTTCACAGGCTCCCTTCATATGTTAGATGCTTCAATCTCTTTAATTAGTTTTGGGGTTCCTTCTCCAGACTGTCTCCAGTCTGACCATGTCTTTTTTTGTACCATAACTGGACCCACCATTTCAGATGTGTCCCCACCAGTACTGAGCAGTTTTACCTCCCTCAGCCTCCTGGTGATGATCTTCCTAATGCAGCCCAGGAGGCTACTGGCCTTTTTTACCACACGTTGCACACTCACATTCAACTTGCTGTCTACCAGGAACTCCAGGGCCTTTTCTGTCTGGCCTTTTTTACCACACGTTGCACACTCACGTTCAACTTGCTGTCTACCAGGAACCCCAGGGCCTTTTCTGCAAAGCTGCTTTGCAACCAGTCAGCCCCCAGTATGTACTGGTGCATGGGGTTATTCCTCCCCAGACGCAGGACTTTGTTGAACTTCAGAAGGCTCCCATCAGCCCATTTCTGGAGCCTACTGAGGTCCCTCTGAGCAACAGCTGAATTACCTTCTTTATCAAGCATTCCTCCCAGTTTTGTATCATCTGCAAAGTTGCTAAGGGTGTACTCTGTGCCACCACGTGGGATGAAGGATCCAGCCCCTGGGCTACACCAGTAGTGACTGTGCTCCAACTGGACTTCATGTCACTGATCATAACCCTTTTGAGTCTAGCAGGTAAGCCACTTTTCAGTCCACCTCACTGTCACCTCATCTAGTCCATATTTTATTAAGTCTGTCAATAAGGATGTTACAGGTAGACAGTGTGAAAAGGCTTATTAAAGTTGAAATAAACAACATTCACTGCTCTCCCCTTGTCCAAGTCAGTCTATCTCATCGCAGAAGGCTGTAAGATTGGTCAAGCATGTCTTCCCTTCTTAGTCTGTGCTGACTACTCCTAGTCCCTGCTTCTTGTCCTTCACATGCCTAGACACATCCTGTGCCCAGGATTAGTTGCTCCATCACCTTCCAGGGGTTGAGGTGAGGCTAACTAGCCTGTAGTTCTGTGAATCCTTCTCCCTGAACAAAGGAGTGACATTTGATTTCGTCCAGTCCTCAGGAACCTCCCCCAAATTGCCACATTTCAAACACTACCAAGAACATCTTCACAAACAGCTCCCTCACCACTTGGGGATGCATCCCATCAGGTCCCATGGGCCCTCTGATCATCCTCTGCCAGGGGTAAACTGGGAGCAATGAAGACTTTCCCAAGGGCCTCAGGCTCCTGGGCTGGTCTTAACCAGCACAGATCAAGGGAAAGAAAGCACCAAGTACCTTAGCCTTTTCCACATCAGCACAGCCCCTGCCCCTTCTCTAGCCTTCCTTTACTGCTTAATTACTTGTAGAACTCTTTCTTGCTGTCCTTCATGTCCCTTGATGAGTTCACCTCTAGGTGAATTGGTGCTTTCCCCGCACATTCAGTGTCTCTGCCCCTGGGGCACACAGGATACAACTCTTTTGTACACTTTTTAATGTCTAAGTTTTGTCAGCAGCAACTTGTTTGTCCACACACACTTCCTGCCAGCTTTGCTTAAACTCCTACTTGTCAGAGTGGACCATTCTTGAGCTTGAAGGAGATCATCCTTGAATACCAACCAGCTCTCAGGTCAGGCAGTTGGACTAGATGATCTCTAGGTCCTTTCAAACTGAACTATTCTATTCTGTTGTCTCCTGAATCCCTCTTCTCCGGGGCAGTCTCTCATGGGACTCTTCCAAGCAGATCCCAGAAGAGGCCCAAGAGGAAGTCTCCTCTCCTGAAGTCCAGGAATGGGATCCTGCTTTTTTCCCTGCTTCCTCCTTTCAGAATACTGAACTGCACCATGCCATGATCACTGCAGCCAAGGCTGCCCCCAATCAGTTCTTTCTTGTCTGTAAAAAAGCCAGATCCAGCAAAGCACCTGTCCTCACCATCGCCTCAATCACCTGTGTCAAAAAGTTCTCACCAGTGCACTTCAGAAGCCTTCTGGATTACTTGTGCCCTACAGCACTCCCCCTCCAGCAGATACTGTGGTGATTAAAGCCCCCCACGAACACCAGTGCCTGCAAATGCAAGGCTTCTTCCAGTTGTGTAAAGATCTCATCTACTTCTTCCTGATGAGGCAGTCCACAGCAGGTGCCCAGTCCAAGCATCACCCATGTTGGTCTCCGTTTAATCCTAACCCATAAAGTCTTAGCCGGTACCTCATCTGTCCCTAGGCAAAGCTCTGTATGTTCTTGCTGCTGCCTCATGTAAACAGCAATTTCTTCTCCTTGCCACCCTAGCCTGTCTTGTCTGAAGAGCCTGTATCCATCCTTTGCCACATGCCAGTGGTATGACCTATCCCACCATGTTTTTCATGACCCCAACCAGATCATATCTCTAGTACTGCACATATACCTCTTAAGTCCTGCTGTCTGCTCCCCATGCTGCATGGGTTAGCGTGTAGGCACTCCAGCAGAGTTCTGCTGATGTTCCAGAAAAGGTATGAGAACTTCCCCCATACGTCTGTCCTCTCCAAGTTCCTCATTTGTGTAGACGCACTTGGGGGGACCCTGTTCCGCCCTGCTCTGTTGGTTTCAAGGTCTCTCTTGATCACATCACCCTGCATCTTTTGCTTACTAATCTGGTCTATACTTCCTCAATCAGCTGTGGGGCACAGTCCTCCCCTGTTGCTCCCAGTTTAAAGGTATCCTCTAGTCGTGTACCCAAGATACACCATTCAAATCTAGTACTGACAAAGTCAAGTAAGTATTTGTATTGTAAAGCATATTAATAACAATAAAATCCAGTTGTGTCAACATTAGTTATTATTTCTGTAATATGAATTCAATAAATCATGTCAAATACACTGTATTAAAAAAAAGTATCTTCAACACAAAATAAAGCTGTGGCACTTTCTGAAAACACATCTAGTCCAATTTTCTGTTTATTTTGCAATTGTTGTGGGGGAGGAAAATGAAGAAACAAGAAGATGGTGTCTTTCTCTTTTCCAATTACGTGAAAAATTAATAACAAATTCCATAAATTAGCCTTATATTAGGAATTTGGTCAAATCATTAGTCATTAAGCTTTTATTAGGACCAAATAATATGGCTTTTCTCATTTCTACATCCCTTATATGATTTTTTTTCCTTTTATTATGTTCTCGTGTGGTTTTCTGATATTAACTACAGTTTCTTGAAAAGTGACGTCCCCATTACTTTTGGACTACGGCTTTACTTCCAGACGTTTTGATTCAAAGTTGAAACATTTTTCGTTTAAGGTTATGCAAATAAGTCACTCCTCACTTTTACTAGTTTCATAACTTTCTGTTCACTTTTCCATGCTCAACCTCTATGAGGCAATGTATTTCCAGGCACATAGTACAGACTCACTGTTGAGCCACTCCCTCTCACAGATTATGAACATACGTTCTCTGTCCTCCATAGAACATGTGCAGCACATCTCTGTCAGGTTTTGTAGAGCTGGTACCAATGGCACAAGAAGGGCTCAGCTTTTCAGCATTTTACTTCCCGTGTTAGCTTATTTAACAAAGTCAATACTCAGATAACCATCTGATGGCTTACAATGGCCAGCTTTTACTCATCAAAAATCTGAACTATTTCATATTTTAATGTTTCAGTTCCAAATGTAGATTCACCTTGGTATGAACACACAATTAAACCACTGCTGAACAGTAGGTGGTTTAGGATTCTTTTTCTAATAAGTAATTTTTTTTTAAATCAACTCTTGTATAAATATTCCATCCCTCCCCCCCCTCCCCCAAAAAAAACCCTGTCCTCTCAAGATGCAAGACTGCTCTAGTACAACGGCCAGCCTGCTGTGAACATGCTTAAAAGAACGTCAGACCATCTCCCATTTGAAAATGGGGACTGTTAAGTCTACTTATTTGACACTGGCTGAGGAATGCTTTGTAAAAGGAACTTGAGTGATGACTAAATCTAAGGTGTTTACAGAAGAAAGAAAAAGACTATTTTAAAGAGTTTCAGAGAATGGAGAAATCTGGAAAAGGACTTGGCACTAGAATCCAAAGGAGTGGATCCAATAAAATACCAGCTGTTCAGCAGTTTTTGCTAAGATTAAGTTTAAGAATGGATACACTTGGCCAGCCATTTATGGCTTCCTATGGTCACATGACAGCACCTGATATTCAGAACTGTTCAGCTAAGGAACTCAGCTTCTATGCACCTACAGTGGAATTTCCAATGGCATACAAATGGGGATGGTGGAGGTTAGAAAAAGAAGGGAAAAAAAAAAAACACACACACAAAAAAAAACCCCAGATAATCTCTAGTCTTTTCTCCAAACCTATTTGTAAGGTCAAACAGTTTAATTTACCCTGGAAGGAGTGATTGTGGAGTTGGCGTTGGCCCATTCAGGGCATACAGGCTGATGCTGCTGATCCCACTGCTCCCCATGCTGCCAGAACTCTGGGCAGACTGAGCACTGCGGTCTTGGTAATTCAACGGAAGGCTTTGAGGCCTGGCATAGTAATAAGGGGTTGAATGAGCATCCCGTGGCAATGCTTGAGCAAAAAGCGTGGCATAACTTGATACCTGGAAAGGAAAGCATTTGAAAAGGAAGGAATAAAAAGAAAAGATTTGTGAGTTGCTTTAAGTCATATCTTTCTTAACAGGAGTGTAATACTCAAGAACGCAAAAAAGAACTTAAGACTGTTTATGCAAAGAAAAATTTGTTGTTACAATTATAATGACAAAAAAAGCAAGCAAAAAAGTACTTTAGTCAATATAGCTTATTTTTGCCTGCAAATTGTCATTAGCAATAGCTGCAAAAAGCACTTTGGTGCTAGCAGAGCCGCAACTAAAGGAGGAATTTTGCTCTCCCTACTCCATTTCAAACTCATTAACACATGAGCAGACATTACACCCCATCAAGCAGAAAGCAAACAAAAACCTCGCCCATCTAATAAAGTCACAACTTCAGCTACAAATATTGGACAGCTCGTATTTTTACATTTACTTAGTATAAAAAAAAAACCAACACAGAAAAAACCTGCAGACACTTGTGTTAAGTGTGTTCTTCCTTTCAGCCTCACACCCAAACACCACAAACACAATCTGAGGTGTTGGTTAAGTCTGGATGACTTCAGCCTCACACCCAAACACCACAAACACAACCTGAGGTGTCGGTTAAGTCTGGATAGCGATTCTTAATGACATCTAAAATAAGTGACACACATTTACTGTCTCTCAGAACTAACGAAGGTCTCCTCACCTACCTTGTTAGACTGCTTACGTGGATCTTCACTAAGGCTAAGCAGGAGGTAGAGTATTGACCATTTGTTTTTCAAAATGCCCTTTAAAAAAAGATGAAGACAAACAGAAATGAGTTTGTTTTAACTCTTAGTAATGATGAATTTCTTTTTAATTATCCAGTCTACTAACATGTACATATATAAATCAATTTTCCACACAAGTAAGATCAACTCAGAGCCACATTCTGGAGTAAACTGGGAATGTGCAGTGTAGCCTCTGTATTGCTAATTTTATGAATTTTCTCCACTGTATTCAAATCATGAACTCTTACCTGCTCTAAGATTAGCAAGTACACTCAAAATTCATAGCTACTACGAAAGAGATCTATACAGAGTTGAACTTTTACCAGCATTCCCACACTCTCAGCATTTAAAACTTGTCAGATGTGGATGCTACTCTAATCTAAAGGCGAAGAAGGAAAACTCTTGGTACAATTTTAAGCAAAGAACTGTCTTTTCTCCACTTTCCCCTTCACAGGGAGCTTCAAAAGTTTGAGCGTTTCAATTTCTATTACTTAAAATGCCATTTAAGGGAGCTACCAAGATTTTCACAGTTTAAGACATGTTAACACAAAACTTGAAGAATAGGCAATATAGTCTGTAGCAAACAGCCAAACAGACAGATACATACAGACTGTTAGAATAACACTCTCAGCAGCTTTAAATCTCAGCAGAAAGCTTACCAGCCAAAGACTGAACAATGCTAAAGCCCAAGGTACAAAAAGAACACTTTGAAGAGAAGAGTTACCAGAAATATTAAAATGTTTTATTGCAGATACACATATGTTTCTAGATGTGTTACTCCGTAGTTCTGTGACACTAACACTTGTCCCTGAATTGAGCAAGGACAGAGAACCTTATACGGACATTAAGTAGTGGAGTAAGTCAAAGACACTCATACAAGTTCCCTCACAATATCGATCAGGCTATGGTCTGAAATACTACACAATGCTGAATATAAAGGAAACTTCAGTCATACCAAGATTCAACAAAGACTCCATCGCTTATGAAGCAATGTAATTCAGTCCTATCAGTCTTGCAAAAAGTGCTTTCAAAGTCACTTTGAAATTCTCTTTTTTAAACACATTTTCATTCTGACCTTTTTTCTATTTTACTTGTTTCTCCACAAATCATGCATTTTGTGTGCGTATGTTACGTGGTGTAAGAATTTTGTCCATTCCTTCTTCAGGCCATTAACCAAACCTACCAAAGCTGTATACTGTTATATAAGGCTAGAGGCAGACATTCTACATCATTATGTAGAGCAGAAGTTTATTATCTTCTGCTCTGATCTCAGCAACAAGCAAAAAGTAGAGGTATTGCATCTGCTGCAAATAACCAATCCAGCAACTCATTAACAACTGGTGAAGAAGGAGCAGCAACATTTCCATTTCTCCTGCTGGCCAGGACAGAGTAAGTCCGAGTGCCTCAAGCACATGGTTTGGTTAATTGGCAAGCTGCCACTAAAATAAGCACTGACCTCCTTTTCTCTTTAGAGTAATGGAAGAAACAAAGTTAAAATAGATTCACACAAGCTTTTTTCTTTCCCTTAGTTGCTTTCAAGAGAACTGCTGAAGGAAGAAAAAGCCTCATTGATTCAGAAAAAACATATTCCTTCTGTGCCACTCCTTCAGCTCGTGGGGAAAAGAAATTATTGTCCACCATCAGTAATAAACCTAACAGCATACTGAGTAACAATTGGTAGCATGAATTTTAAACAAGGCAGTATTCAGATGATACCATTTCAGGTACACAAGATGCTGGCACATGGGGGAAAAGAAAAAAGAAAAAAATAAACTCAAATATTTGAGCAGGCAGCAAAATATGAGGAGACAGCTGATGTAAGACTGTATTACATTCGAAAGAATAACCAAACTGATATGAACACAGACCCGGCATTTTGTTTCAAACTTTACAGCCATCATGCTCTGCAGCTATGTCGCTTGCCTAAGTGCAATGGTATGGCAACATAGTACATAAGCTACAGAAATAGGTTACAGAAAATCTGTATTAAAAGAGCAAGATCACACAGTGTAATACTTGCAAGAAGAGGTTGAAACCAATGGCTGAGGTCATCAGAACAGGTGTCTGCAAACTGTTTCACTGTACAAACCAATACAAATAGTACACAAACCCACAGAATAAGGAAAACAGGAAGAGTTACATAGTAACTTTTGCTCCAAGTACTAACAAACTAACAGGTAAGCTAATGAGGAGAGGGGCAGGAGCGAGTTCTGACTAGTCATACTTTCCACAGAATCGCTTTTTTTGCAATCTTAAAATCTTAGTATTAGCCTGTAAAACTCAGACATGATCTACACATAAATGAATACATAAAAAGCAGAAGAACAGAGAAAAGCTTATCTCCTAAATACAAAGAGCAAAATAAGGACAAGCTTTCTGTTATATGGAAACATCATCCTTCACATGAACTAATTTTTGTTGTCAGGTATGTGCAAATGACAACTGGGAATTTTATTTTTATTATTGCCCACCATATTCTACCTTGCTAAATACTCAATTTTATGGAGAATCCAGAACAGATTAGCAGCAGTCCTTTTTCACCTACCTCAGCTAAATTTCTATCCTTGCATCATTCTCCCCTTTCACCTGATCCATCTTCCTGCATCGTGGGCTCTCTATACACCACCATCTTTTGTCAGAATATCAACATGCAGCATTCTTCAATTAACACTGGTGTTAGCAGAACCAAAGTCAACAAGCCCTTAACTTTCAACATTAAAGCCCTGAGGCACTTAAAAATTCAGAAGCATGAGGACTGTTTGAAACCTAGATTAGTAAAATCAACACACTCACAACACATTGTTGTAAAATAAGTGACGAGAAAATTAATCTGTTTTACATATAAAATGGACACTTTCATTTTTACAGAGTTGCTTCCTTCATATGAAGTGCTCCTTCATGTAACTGGACTCAAACTAGAAATGTTTCCTTTATTCTTTTCTGATCTACAATTAAATCCAAATTAATTTCTAATTAATAACAAACAGCTCATAGTAAAAAAAAAAAAAAAAGTAGTAACTTTTTCACAAAAACTACAAAATGGTTGAGGTTGGAAGGCACCTCTGAAGATCATCTAGTCCAACCCTTCTGCTCAAAGCAGGGTCATCTACAGCAGGCTGCCCAAGACTGTGTCCAAGGATGGAGACTCCACAACTTTCCTAGGAAACCTATTCCAGGATTCAAACATCCTCTCAGTAAAAATATTGCTAACGACCCAAACACTCTCCAAAACAACCCTATAACACCAGAACGTGCTTTCAGTTTCTCTACTATTTATATATTTACTACACTACCTGTGAACCGAGTTTTCTGTAGAGTTCTGAAAACAAAGCAGCATCTGCTTCCCTCCTTTGTCGTACAACTATTAAAAAAGAAAAACAAAACCAAAACACAAACAGATTAAACATTTGAAACAAGTGTAATAGTCATGTCTGAAATTATATATTTGTGGTAAATTGGAAAACGTACCCAAAGAAGCTTAATGATGCCTGTCTTACTCTGTTTACTGTTTTGCCTGTTTTCATGTTATCTGCATTCCAGCCCTGCAAATTCTTGCATCAGAAGTGATGCAATGTAAGTACCTGTTTTTCTTAGGGTAATCAAAATATACACCTTCTAAATAAGTGCCCTTTTAAACTGTAGTCTGCCTTTCTGTAAGTTTAGGGAATTAAAACGCAACTGAAAGCAGACATAGGTTAAAGAATGCTATGAAGCCCTTCACAAAATAAGTGTAATTGTTCCTATTTTAGGCAATAGAAGCAAGAAACAGTAGTAGTAATGCCACTTGCTCAAAGTCAAGCAAAATTCCAAGGTCACACAACTTTTATACATTAAGAAA